GGTAAGTCGATCTTCATATATGTTCATCCACCCTAAAAAATCATATGTCATGGCGCGCTGATCCATCATTGGGGGATAATCATTAATCCATTTACATCCATTTATAGGTATTTATATGTATTCATACATCGATATATATATATATATCATATTTATCATATTTATCATATTTATCATATTTATCATATATATATATCATATTTATCATATTTATCATATATATATATATATCATATATATATCATATATATATATATATCGTATGTATATATATTTATATATACATAATGTGTATGTTTGGATTCCCATCAATTTCATGGTTTGACCCATGGCCTTCAAGGTCTGGAATCCATTGGAATTCTCTGTGGCCAGGACGGTCGGTTTTCTCGCTTGCCGTTGCTGGAAGTGGGGCTGATCCCATCGAAAAAATCTAACTTTAACGATGACGTCACATCCGAGCAACATGGATTTGCGTTGACTTCCCCCCACAATGGAACTGCCACGGATTGGTTCAAGATGTCACATCTTGAAAAGGGGATGGACTCTACCACAAGCAACAACAGGTCAGTGAAGATGATGGAATATGGCCATCTTTAGCAATTCATAGGGATCATCTTTGGCAAGACCTCACTCAGGTGTCTCTAATGTTGACCTGTTGGGGATTCCGACCCCTCAAATGGTGCTGAATTCGTGGTTCGAGCTCCCATGAAGGTGATATTAGTGGAGAAAGAAGGAAGCCTCTGGATCGTGGATGGCTAGTTCAACAAGCTCTAATACGTAACAATCTTCTAAGCCAGTAATGGGAAAGTGGCTTTGCTTGAAAATAGGCTAGCCACATATTTGATGGTTTATCAGTGGTCCTTTTCCCCATTGAATTTCCCGTAAAATTGGCTATCCAAAGCATTTTCACGGACAAACCTGCTAAGCATGCAGCAAACATGGGTTGTGGGCCGGGTATTTCAGCTTCGCAGGGCAATGACTACCCGGCTTAACCTTCGAAAATACACACTGGCCTTGAGCGGTTGGACATGGCAAGTGCGCACGCAAAGACTTGGTGCTCGCAGCAAGGTGGATTGTTTGTATATCTTCAGTCAGGTCGGTTTGGAGCAGAGTACTCTCAGCTGTTCATGGGATGATCATGATTCGGTGCGACGCGCCGGAGTTCGTGTGCAAGTTCAGGTGACCAAACGGCGAAGGAGGGGGTTGCTCAAGCGACTCTGGAACCCAGTGGTCAGCTCCTGCTTGAATGTGTGCTGCCGCTTCCATCATTGATCTGGTTGGTTAAACCAAGAAGATTTGGTGGGTTTTGATGGGATTTCAGAGGATTTGAAGGCAATCCAAGTAGGAAATTTGCCATAAAATGGTTCAGACATTTGGTAGCTGGTGGATTTTACCAACCACAATCAAGGAGTACCAACGAAGCTAGCGGCTGGATAGTGGATAGGGAAAACAAGATACACTCAGAGAGTCATGTTTACCCTCTGGTAATTTAACATAGCTATTGAAAATGGCCATTTATAGTGGATTTTCCCATTAGAAATTGTGATTTTCCATAGTTATGTTAAATTACCAGAGGGTACCTTGGCTTCTTCAGCCATCCAAATCCCTACGAGTCACCGCCTCCACGGCCTCAATGATCGCAAGCCAGACGTCTCCAGACAGGATCCTCCAGGTAGTTGGGCTATGGATACCTATGGCATTCCTATGGCTATAACTATAACCATCTATAACCATCTATACCCAGTTGAACTTCGTAAAGCAAATCACCTATCTGACCATATCTGACCTATCTGTGTGCACTCACAGGCGTACCTGGCCAGGCGTTTTTAAGTCGTTTGCACCGGCGCCGCTTTCAGCGTGTGCTAAATCAGTGGGGACGTCATGGGGGACCAGTGGTATTGGGACGGGGAGATGGGCAATTCTAAACGTGGAGATCAATACCCCAAAATCGATCAACATCGCATATTCAACGGCTGACATGCGTTTCAGTAACATGAGTTTTGAGATCCACTGAATTTTGGTATACCCTAGCTTCAGACAAAACCATATGTGTATTTCTCGAATGAGGCGCTAATAGCGAAAAATGTGAAACACGTTGCTTGGAGGTCCACGATACGACGTTTTTCTGGAAATGTTGAAAGTAACTACAGAAGTGGACTTACTTGGACCATTCTTTACTTTTAAGTTGAACTCCTCCAGATGGGGCTTCTATTTGGTTTTATCATCTTGATTAGTCTTGATTTCTTGATTTCTGCGCCCAGTTCCAACTCCAGCTGATGCTGGGGACTTCATTTTTTTTTATCACTGCACTTCCAAACGCTGCTTTACCAACTTGGATTGGCTGATGAACATGAACAATCATGAACAACCAACCCCTTCAACCTCAAGAATGCGCTTCTGCGTTGCCACCGAGGAAACGCCTTTGTTTTAAATCATGATACCGCCTAACGATCGCTCAGAAGCTGAATATTTAAAACACATTGGTATACAGGTTCCCCATTCAATTAACCTGCTTGCTGCTTTCGCTCACCATGTCGTTATAGCTTTCAACTCTTCGCATCAATGAAGCTATTCCTAGGGTTCAACTATGCTCGACATCAGCTAGAATAGTTCCATGATCCGGTACAATCCCATCCCCTTAATATGCGTGTGTCTGAACTGAAAATGAAACATCCTCCCAAATGGTTGTTTTTGATAGAGAAAATAATGATAATCCACTGGATATACAGGTACACTATTTTCAGATAAACCCATATCATGATCCCATCCCATCCCATCCCCCTATATGAAACCCTGGTGGACTGTTGGGGTTCCAGTCGTAAGGCTATGCCATTGCTGAGGCACCCCTTGCCAGCGCGGCCCTCCAAGACGTTGGAGGCAGATGGATGGGCGGGCGCAGGTCGGGAAGTGAGATCCTAAAGGGAAGAGCTTAGCCAATGAAGTGTATGTATGATTATGTATATACTGTATATCATATATATATATACATACATACGTATACTAATATACAGTATATATATAATATTTTAATATATATATATATATATTATATATATATAATATTTTAATATATATATATATATTATATATATGCTACTATGTATATACATATATATATATATATTAATACAGTATATCATATATATATATTATTTATATACATACTAGTATGTTTTGTGTATATGTGCGTGTTTATCAGATGTTTGTTTATTATTATTATTGGGATGGCATTATTCCTGCAAGGTTTATTCAACCTTTTGGATCCGAAATGATATGTGACCCCTCCCCCATCAGCCATATGACGCTGCAAGTAGATGCAAGTAGATGGAAGTAGGCCATATATGGGTCAAAAGATATCACCCCCAAACAAATGCAGGTGTAGTGTTGTTTAGTACAGTTGTATAGGGTAAGAATCGCTACGATTCTTGTGGGTCCTTATTGATACCGCCTGACTGGCGTCCATCCCTATTGGCCTGCCTTTATTGGTATCTATGGGGATCATTAGGCCGGTATAGCCAAAAAACACTTAGAATAGAGGTAGCCGTATCTTTGGAATCCTTGAATGACTCTGTTTATCTTTTCTAGGTTCGGTACTCCCTGGTAAACTAACATAACTACTGTATAGAAAATCACCATGTTTCATGGGAAAATTCACTATAAATTGTGATTTTCCATAGTTATGTTAAATTACCAGAGGGTACTCCCCTAAAGCCAGAATAGCAAGGAACCATCCAGAGAGGAATCCTCGAGATCCAGGTGTTAACACCAGAGTTGGCGGTGAACATCGCTGCCTACAGCGGGTGCGCGGTGAGTTGGATGACCGAAAAACATGTTGATCTGGATCCGTGGGTAAGTCCTGGGGATGGGTCAAAATATGTCAAAATTCAAGGCCTATGGGACCAGAGATTTTAGATGATTTTAGTATGTGTTTAATATTAACCATCCATTTGTTTAGGACGTTTACGACATGTTTCTGGGTAATACCGGCTTCACTGTTTTTCCTCATTGGAATAATGGTTAGGATTCGGAATTATCCCCAACTGGCCCCACATTTCAGATTAGCGAAATATTACAATTTACCCAGATGTTTGGTAAATTGTTGTATCTCTAGGGTATTTTGAATAGAACGCACAGATTTAAATCCTAAGTTTGGGCTTAAACATGGCTCCAGTTTGTTAGCCTTGGATAGCCTTGGATAGCCTTGGATAGCCTTGGATAGCCTTGGGCCAATCATCCCCAAAGAATTAGCCCATCGTGCTGTTGAGTCGGTACCACATGTTAGTATCGGAATTCACTGTGACTTTAATTTTGGTTGACTCCCCTTGTTTTTATTGTTTTTGTCCTTCTCCAAACAGTTGGTTGTTTGAAAAAATAGGAGTAACCCTGCTTTTGTGATTTCATAAATTGATAACGACGCGTATCTATCATAGATAATATATATATATAAATAAATAATACATATATAATTTAATTATATATATATATAATACTTGGGTGATTCACCCGATACGTAACAAAATAAAATTTGTACCTGGTTATTTCATTAGGGTACTTAATGGGATAGAGATTATTATCTACTTATCATAACTGGGACCTAAAGGTGACCTAAGTTACCGAGATGTCTCACGGTGAGAGATCTATCCTGGACCCAAGTGATGATCCATTGGAAAAAATGTGTTGGGTAAATCCAGTTTTCTGGTGGTGAAAATCATTTTTTTATGGTGAAAATCCTTTTTTGCTGGTGAACTCCAGATGGTTTGTGGGTGAGTGAAAAAGCCATACGGTGGATGGAAAGAAATCCTGCACCAGTTGATGGATGGTTTATCCCATTGTTTACAGGGTTTCAACCATCCAAGGTGGTGTAGGATTTCTTTCACCCACCATGTTTTTTTCTATGTTTTTCTTGATACCTATAGGATCCTAGGACGGCAGACCGCAGTTCTGTGAGGCCCTGCAGTCTGCAGCAGTTGCCCTTGGTTTCTAAAGCTCTGAGCCGTGGCATGGCCCTCTGCGCTTCTCAGCGACTTGGACGCGGGGACACGTCACGACTTGGTGGTGGGTCCTCTCCTAGTGATCTTTGTGGGGTCATTAATAAACACAGATAAACCATAATAAACCCCATAAACGTCCCTAAACTACAGATATATAATTATTGATATATCTGTATTGATATCTACCGCAAACTCTGGGTATTGGAGTTAGTTGCAGCAACTTATCACGAATCCCCTGTACATCCCCATGTTTCCGATTTGAGTCATGTTAAGTCCCCACAAAATGGCCCACCTTGTATCTGGTGAGTTGTCCCAGGAATCGAGGACTGATGTAATGTTCACCAGGGTTATTGACTTTATTGACCAGTTTCTAAGAGGATGATAGGGATGGTCCTCCAGGTAATGTACTGTTGATCAATTAGGAGGTTGGCCTACCCTTCACATCCAATAGGCAGCTGATGATATATTCCAGACCAGCCCGCCGTTTTTTCCTCACTATAGGATTGTTGAGCGGAGGTGGCAACAAAAAGTCCACGAACCCGATATAGTGAGATACAATCTGGTCAAATCCCAATCAACTTCACAATGATGTTCGGTACCCAACTCTGGGGTTCAATGGTTCAATGGCTTGGTTTCAAGGTGCCAAGCTATAGCCATTTCAGATTCTCGGAATCCCTGGAGAACATTTGCGGCAAGGGATATGTGTGTTTTTAGGTGCTGTGCCAAGTATTTTATCAAGGGAATTGTAGGTGAATATGGGAATTGTATTCCCATATATTCCCATATTGTAGGTGAATACTTGGAATATTCCCATCTCAAGGGAATTGTGCTGTGCCATGGTGACAGTTGCACGCTGACCCTCAGTCTTTCCACCCTTAGCCGCGAAGTGCGACAGCGAGTTTCGCATCCGCTGCTTCACCAAACATTGCAAGAACAAGGCATTGAGGGCAGAAATGCGACACTTTCTTGCACTCTTGTTCCAACAGATTTATACGCTGCATGGTGTTATGTCCAAGGAATGCAAGCCTCTGAGGAACATTTTGCATTGGAGGGTCTTACGCAGATGCAAGTGAGGCGCTTTGGTGAGCATGTCTACCACCTCGCTCGAAGTTTGAAGAATATTTCTTTCGACAATGTTTTTACGACAAGTCTAAGTCCCTACAGAGTGACTCTCCCAAACAATCTGCAAAGTCTAACCTTTGGCAATGATTTCAATCAGAGCCTTGACCGAGAGACCTTGCCAAGCAATCTGCAAAGCTTGACCTTTAGCAACCATTTCAATCAGAGCCTTGACCGAGTGACTTTGCCAAACAAACTGCAAAGTTTGACATTTGGCAGTGATGTCAATCAGAGCTTGAACGGAGTGGCCCTCCCAAACAGTCTGCATAGTTTGACTTTCGGAGTTCGTTTCAATCAGAGCTTAGACAGAGTGACCCTCTCAAGCAGTCTAAAAAGCTTGACTTTGGGATATGATTTCAATCAGAGCCTGAACCGAGTGACTCTGCCCAGGAATCTGCAAAGCTTGACCTTTAGCAACCATTTCAATCAGAGCCTTGACCGAGTGACTTTGCCAAACAATCTGCAAAGTCTGTAGAACCTCTGGCAATGATTTCAATCAGAGCTTGGACAGAGTGCATCTCCCAAGCAATCTGCAAAGCTTGACCTTCAGTGATGCTTTCAATCAGAGCCTGGACTCTCCATGACTCTCCCTATGAATCTGCAAAGTTTGAGCTTTGGATTGTGTCCTTAATCACGGAAAATCCCTTATAGAAGGAGGTTTTAATGGGAACATAGTCTATAAATGAGCCATTTTCCATGACCAGAGGGTACAAATTGATCAGAGCATGGCAGGACAGCCAGGCAGTTTTTGTTCATGGTGCTATGAGTCTCATCGTTCGCAAGTGGAACTCGCATGAGCACATACACCAGGACGAAGCCATCAACTGAAAAATAATGCGTGAGGGGAACCAAGGAAGCAGGGCAATACAGTGTTTTTTTTGTTTTTAGAAGTTTTATCATTTTACTGCATACGCTGTAACCACCAGTAATCAAACGAAGCAACAAACAACAAACCATTTTAGATGACTTTCTCTTAAAAAAAACGCTCATTGTTAGGGGCTTTCTCAATTAGCCAGATTGTCGAAGGCTACGAACGAGTACTTTGAAACTTTGACCTCCATTCCCCGTCGGAACGCCCTGCTACCCGGCTAGCCTTACAGCTTGGCCAGAGGCTCGACCAACTTTTTCCGTCGACCATCTACATCATAGGCACCGCACCCGGGGCCGTTTCAGACCGTTTCGACAGGAACATTATCTAAGAATCATCTACATGTCTTGGGTTGCAGTTCAGTCCCCTTCACCATCACTCACTGGGTTGGTACAATGGAGGAAACGAATGGACAATGAGTAGGTTGACTCATCATGATTGCCATGCCGTCGGTGTTCTTTTAGTTTTTATAACTGTTATTTCACCCAAGTCAGGGAAACTGGATGATCTCATTCCCTCCGCCTCCCCCCAAAAAAAACACCTGGATCGTAGCTGGATTTATCACCCAGTTGTTCCAACTAGAAGTACCTCTGAAGCTACGATCCCCATGGCTACTATCCACAGCCCCATGTTGTCGTGAATTCCCAATCAACATATTTTTTTCGGATATCCACGTCATGGAACAATTGAGAAATCACCTACATAGTGGGAAAAGAGTACAACGGTATACGGCAATCAACACCATGAGATGTTGCAGTTTGTCAGCTAAGTTGCTTAAAATAGACTAGTTCTTGGGTTTATGCTAGATATATCGAACTAGTTACTGGGGCATATAAAGCATAAAACACAATTGGGAGGGCAGCACATTGTGGTGATTTAGCTGATAATAAGGGGGCAGCTGGGCTGACAATCAAAACGAATCACGAAGAAGGACTCAACCAACAGACATATGGTTTATATATGTACCACGGTCAAAAGATTGTATATGATTTATGGATATTTATGGTCATCCACCCTATATTGGGAATCCTTACAATGGGTATACTATCTCTTTTAATGGAGTCTGATGACTATCCCAATACACCATCCACCTCAAAAAACCATGGCGCACCAATCCATGTGTGCCAATACCATCCGGCAATTTGATATACCATAACTATTGTGAATGGCCCATTTCTATATGATGTACCCATAAATCTTTAAGAAGCTGTGACAAATTACCAAAGAGTATATAACAATATGCAGCCTCAATGTATGACATTTGCCTTGATGAGGTCCGGTCGTTGTGACCCTGAGGTCTTTATCGTCTTGCCGATGAATGGGGATGGGTCAAGTTACCTATGAAATTACCATTATGAATAGGGGAATATACCTAGGTGCCTAGGGTGCCAAGGTTTCGACTGCCAGCCATATAAAAAATAAGGCGTTGTTTTTTTGGCTAAACGTTTCCCATTATATCCCATTATCCCCCCATTATGCTGACCATGTCGTATCAAGTTTGTATGTCCCATATCCCACTACATCCCCATGATATCCCCATGAAACCATTGTATTCATCGGCTAAATTACTGTAAATCCATCCCCATGGTTGTTCCACGCCACATCTATATATTTAAACGCTTATCTTTGTGTATGTGTGTGAATATGCGTGATTTTATGTGGTCAATTTTGGGCTTTCTCACATTGTATCCCTTAAATTCCATTAATAGCCATTATACTATATATATATGTATAGAATTATATATATATGTATATCATTGTATATCATTGTATATCCATGATTCACCATTGTTGACCACCAAGTTTTCAGCATTTCTCTTGCCCCTTGGACCCGGTTTTGAACGGTGGACGGCCAGGTGGGGCTGGCAGCACTTCCAATCAGCCCCTGCGGAGCCTCGACACTGTCCGCCCGGAGACCCCGGAAACCCCGGAGACCCGAGATCCCCCGGTGGAACTGCGATTTTCTCCGACAGAAATTTCCGTTATCCTCTGGCAAACTGTCCCATAACTATGGAAAATCATCAAGATCCACCATGTTTCATGGGAAAATCAACTATTTCTATGGTGATTTTCCATAGTTATGGGACAGTTTACCAGAGGCTATTCTATTGGGAAGATCTAAAAGTGAACTGGATTAAATCATATATGAAACAACATATTTAATTTGTAGGATTTATCTCCTTCAATGGTTTGCGGTCGAACATGGGTCATCCGTTTGTAAAGACATATTTCGGCATGGATGTTTAATTGATGTGGTGGAACTCTAGTAGTCTTTTGGCAGTTTGTTTTCTTTGTCCAAGGCGAAGCATCCTGCTGAACAGTTCGCCGACAGATGGATTAACCTAGCGTGCATCATGTCATATCATGTATTATGTTGATTCTGGTATAACAATGTACAACTTACTTTGTAAGTAGGATCAACCCAATCAGAAATGGCAAATTTTCTCGATGGCCGAGATGGCTTTGTTTACTTGGGCAAGTTGAGGCCCAAGTGATGGGGCAGAAGACGGCTGGTGGCAGGAGATGTCCCTGTTTCAGGGACAACACTTCGAAACCATCCTATAGTGGATGTGCAATTGCTCCGAAGGCAGCTTTGAGTTTACCTGGCGACAATGTGACAACATATGACAACATCATTTGCCCATATGGCCCATATCTCACTTTTTTTTTAAGCGCATAAAACACCTCAGAAAACCATAAGTAGGATGACTTAAACACAGACCTAAAATTGTATTAATACTGTAGGTTGTTGGCATCCCCGAGGCTTTTTTATCATATCTCATTAGATCTAGTCCGTTTTCTGGGTAAGCCTTGCCAATGGTAGATTTATGGCTTAATGGCCAGATTTGCCATGGAGACATAGATGTTTTAAGTCGTTGTTGAGGTTTTGAAGGTAGCAGAGGTGCATTCTGAGTTTCAATGGGTTCACCCCACAAATATGAACCAGGTAGCCCCATGCGCTGAAAACGCGTGGCGTTTCCCGATTTTTGAAATGAATCCATTGGTGAATTGGTGAATCACCATGTGCCCTCTTAAAATTGGTTAATTACATATTAATCCTTTCCCCCTATTACTCAACTGGGGTTACTACCATTGGTTACTACCTGAGGTGTTTATTAATAGGGGGGAGGGAGGGACGTTTAGTATTAGGGGGAAAGGGATTAGCATTGCAATTCTGGTGGTATAAGCCACTTTCAGACACACCCAATGAGTTTTTGTGGTCAGTAGCCCTGCAGTCGTGAAGTTCAAGAAGAGATGTGCTTGGAAGCCTCGAGTTGTGAGATAGTTGCGCTTGCAAACCCCAGTATGTCTTCATAGAGAAAAAACGATGAAAAAGGATGAAAAAGGAATCTTCACCAACTCTGATTGGCTGATATCCCAGGAATGCAGATAGGATAGAGCCCGTTGATTGCACATGAAATTCCGCAGGAAGACCCAAGGCTTCAAGGGCTTGAAAAGTCGAAGATATATTGGGCTGGCAAAACTTTGGGTTTGTGTGGTTTTTCGTTGCCTTAAGCCAGGTGAAGCAAAAGGAAACCAGCGATCTTGATGGGGCAATGGTTTGGCTAGATTGGAGAGAATGCAATGTGGTAACGTGGCAAACCGACATAAATCCACACCACGTGCTTTACTTCAATATATACTTGATTCCATTCTTTCAGGGCATTAAAACAACTGGCCCACCTAGTTTACCATAGTTTGCCAATAGAAACTGGGTCATTTTTGTGGTAATACACCATGCATGATTTTATCAAAAAACTCTAAGGAGAAACACCATTTGAAGATTATATATATACGTATATATATAATATAATATATATATCATGGTTGCGATGTTTTGAACTGGGTTTATCACATGTCTAGCCATTGCCTAGATAAACCATGAAAGCAGTAACTAGTTCTAACTGGGCCAAACAGTTAGAACCTATATATAAGCCATGAAATTCACTGAGTTTTGGTATATAATGGTATGTATATATATATATAGATAATCCAGTCACAAACCAGTCAACTATGTTATGAATCAACCATGCCCTAAAATGGACTCCCCGTCTGGCTGTGGCCATATTTCCCCAGGTCCTGATGAACTGCCCGGCGAGTCGTGGTCGCCAGAGCCTGCGAAGCGCTCCATGCGTCAACCGCGGGCGGTTTGGGGCCCTAGTCGACGGGCGAGTACCCTCCGGTGTCCTCAAACATGGCTGGAAAATGATGGAAAATGGAGGTTTTAATGGGAAAATCACAGGAAGATATGGGAAAACTATGGGACATCTCTATAAGGTTTATACCTGGAAAACACATTTCAATGATGGATGGTCCAGCCACGTTTGACCTGAGAGTATCAGAAACTCCATCGAAGCAGTGGCTGCAGTCCCTTTTTTTGGATGATCATAATCCATCTGAGTGACGGCTTTTACTTGGCGAAGTGAAGTGTAGGAAGTGTAGGAAGTTGCGGCGTTCCCCACTTTGTTGAAAGCACCATATTTAGGTTGCAAAACAAGATAGGAGCACCCCTAGAACGAGGTAGGCATCGCATGTAAAGTAAAGCATGGAGCTGTTGAAAACACGTGCTGCACTGGACAACGAGGTCAGGCCCCCAAAAAACGTTACGGGAATGAGAGAACGAGGTAGGAACACCCCCATCGATATACCAGATACAGTACTTTCCGCAGCTCACATATGCAGAATTCATAATGTGGTAAAAACAATATTAAACCCTCTTTTGTGGCATGTCCTCGATTAGCCCCCAAATGGTTAACAAGTAACTTATAGGTAAATTGGCAAAGAAAATCCAATGCTTTATGATGCTTTATGATCATATTCCTCTTTAAACTGACCAACAAAGGGGTTTACTGCAACACATACACCCAAATATTGCCAAATATCATCCCTTTTCAGACAAACCCAAATTTAAAAAAAAAAATGTTGCACACTTCATGACATATTCCATATTAAATATATTAATCCCATGGATTTCTCACCATCTCCCCATGCTTTGTCCCATTAAAAAACCATGGTCAATTCAGCCTACCATGATTCCTCGAGCCTGGTGGCAAGATGTGGCAAGTCACTGACGAAAAACAGTCACATTTTTTTTACATAACTAAAAATAGCATATTTACTCTAGTTTATAGATGTTTAAAGATGTTTATAGATGTTTATTCACTGATTTTACTGTAAATACTTTATTGTAGTTTATAAATGTTTATAGATGTATATAAATGGGTATCAATAGATATATTTACGGTATGTTCGATGTTTATGGATGTGTTTATAGATATTTATGGTATCGCAAACCCCATAAAGATAGAACACGTACGGACTCGTACAGACCAAAATATTGTTCCGTGGTAAATTATCGTTTGGCAGCTTTCTTTGGGGTTTGCTGGGCGTTACCAAAAATCAATGGGGCACCAACAGTGGTTGGTTGTTTCATTGTTTTTTCTTTCCTTTTCCAGATTTGACGACGTGCAGCGTGACCCATGTGATTGTTTTTGCATGGGACGGTTGGGTCGAAGCCACTTTCCAGTTTCATTTTGAACATAGTCTACATGCTGCTACATGTGTTTGTGTGTGTGTCAGCCCAGTGCCAGCTTTTCTTGTCGAATCCTTGTCACTGCCATGGAAAGCCAGGTACATCACAGTTGCGATGCTCGAGATGCATCTCATGCTTGGGTTTTAGTCAATCCCAGCTTAGACATCTGGACAGAAACTGATTAATGCCCAAAACCACGACTTGGCATTTTTGCATCAGAAAAACACATTGAATTTGAGTGACACCAAACTACTGACGCCGGTTATTTTCAAAGTTTCTGGAGCCGCTGGAGCTTGAAATGACCCCTGACAAGGTGAATCCTCGACTCCAGTGGTCTAGTGTCATTGTTTTCTGGTTGGTGGTTTGGAACATGTTTTTTTTCCATTCAGTTGGGAATGTCATCATCCCAACTGACTTTCACTCCATCATTTTTCAGAGGGGTCGGTCAACCACCAACCAGATTATTAACCATCATTAACCATCATTAACCATATATTAACCATATATTAACCATATATATTCCATGTATCATGGAAAACGGCTACATCCACCTTTTCGGCGACTTTTCGGCGCCATGGGAAGTCTCTCTTCGCTTCCCGTCCACGACCCAAAGAGGTTTTCAGTCCCACGGGTTGATTGGCTGTGGAAAACCAATGGGGAAGGATTCCCCAAAGAACCATATATCATTACTATGGGGGTTTCCTAAAATGGGGGTACCCCAGAATGGATAGATATGGATAGTTTCTAATGGAAAATCCTAAAAATTAAAGTGGATGATTTGGGGGTAGCATCATTTTAGGAGACCTTCATATCTCATCATATCTCGTTTTAGTAGGGGATATGTAGGAACATGTGGGATTTGGCATTCGAAACACACAAAAAAACTCGCATGTTTATGATGTGTTTACTAGTAGTAAATCGGAACTTAGCCAACAAACGTCAAGGTTTGAGCAGCAGAGATGTGTTGATCCAGCCACCCCAACATGGGAACATAGAGGGGGTTTGGCCCAGCAACTTCTCGATCTGGCAATGAACAATTCCAACGATGCCCCATTTACAGATGATATTCCCAATAAAACCTCCATTTATAGGATTTTCCATTGCCATGTTTGATTGATGGAGGGTATATGATGTGTTTGACTAGTTTTAGTATCAACTGCAATTAGTGTGGGTGCCCAAGTTTGACAAATACCTATTGGTATCCATCTTTTTCAGTGATGGGCTGGCGATTCAGGCCAAGCCGATCAAGAACACATTTTCTGGTGAAGACATGCGAAGTCCATATTTGCTGGCTAGATCCACATTCAAAATTTCAGTTTGTGTTTGTGAAATCAGCGAAATCAACTCCCGATTCTGATTTGTCATGGGTTAAATCATGCTAACTAATGTAAATCCCATGTTTTCTTTGTTAAATCATGTAAAATCATCATTTCTGGTGCAACAAATCTCTGTTGTGTTTGGTTGCAAAGCTCACCGCAGCTCCTCGGCCAGGTCAGGCTATTCCTTGGAGCGCTCCATCGAAGCTGCGGCCAATGCCATCGCCAAAGCAGGCGCAGCACTACTGCGCTGCTGACCTCAGCAGCATGGGTCAAAACATGCCAAATTACCCTCTGGTAATTTAACATAGCCATGGAAAATGGTCCATTCATAGATGATTTTCCCATTAAAACCTCCATTGATCAGGGATTTTCCATGGCTATGTTAAATAACCAGATGGTATATGAAATTACCATTGCTGGGGGAATGCCCATCAATTAAGATCATTCAGCAGCTATGACTGAGGGTATGAAAAATGTGTGCCAAGGGGTACTTATGGCCATATGGTTTTGGAATTAGTCTAAATGACCCAGATGGGGGAAATGTTCCATATCTACATTGATGGTAGAAATGGAATACTTCCATCTGGCTGCCATGCTATCACCCGTGGTGGCCAACGTTTGTTGATTGATGTTCATGGATTAACTATGATGTTTTCAATAGAGATTCAACCAACCCCAAGGTTACCCACCAAAAATAGGGTTAAGATTCGCCCTTACGAAAAGTGGTTGTTGCTGGATGAAAATAGATTCGATATGGACAAGCCTTTACTTGCAGTTAATGTTCAGAGGCAGTGATTGATCATTCAGGTCTTCTGTGGCCTGAAAATGCCTGAAAGATCCCGGTTGCATGGCCTGTTTGCGGGGTTCATGTTCGTTTCCACGAGCATAGGTTGCAAACTCATAGGGAAGGCACCAAAGGATGGCGGATGTTACTTATCATTGCTCTGAGGCACCAGAAACTGAGGTTTCTACTATAGTTTCTACGGAAGAATGGTTTCAGACGTGTCCAATTATGATGGGGATAGAAGCCAATGAAAGATAACGAAAGCGAGACTTTGAAATTCTCCGTGTGTAACTCTGTTCACTTGTACAATTTTGGACTCCTGGACAGATGTCCATTTGATGTACCAAATAAGTCTGTGAAACTGTCGTCAGCAAGTGAGTGCCATAGTCCATAGTTGTTGTGCAGCTCTCAATCTCCATAGTATTCTCTTCGGTGCACGTCTTTTCTGAGTATAAGTATGTGTGCAAGTTCGTGTTTGATGTAGATTTATGATGATTTATGATGTTTTTGTGTTTTTACAGTATGTTACAGCAATCATCGCTAGAGATACGTAACACATTTTTGCATACAGTTTTCCATTCTCCTTGAATTTATCAAGTTCCATAGCCATCATGTCCTTTTGGTAAAAATAGAGGGGCTGGTTTGGTATACCATCTATCATCATAGAAACCTGTTGTTCAAGGGGTTTCTTCAAACCCTTCTATTAATCAACCAACCAATGGGAATTTGGGACATCTATGGTTCCATATGGGAAAATTTACAGGAAAGCCCTATATTTGATGGTAAAAACCACGGTTTCCTGTAGATTTTCCCTTAAACCAATCCAATGACATAGCCATCATTGATGATTTCTCCCGAAAGCTCCATGGATTCACCGGAGGTTCCATGACTGCCTTCACTGGCGCCGGCATCTCCGTGGAGTCGGGGATTCCAGACTTCCGCTCCCCAGGCTGGGGCGGAAATCCGCGGGGACTCCGGGGCGGAGAAAATGCTGAGGATTGATGGATTTCATGGGATATATAACCCATGCTATATATGGTAATATTTACCATCAATATACCCCAAATGTTAGCAGCTGATATATATATATATAACCCATAGGATCCATGGTGCTGTTATATATGGTAACATTTAATAACATGGATCCCATCAATATACCATGTTAGCATATATACCATAATTACATGGATCCGTCATGGGTAATGCTAAAAAAAATGTGGTGTTTTTTGTTGCGGTTAGTTTTTTTATTCTTAACAATTAAAACATCTTAAAAGAAATGGAGGGTGCAGAAATGGGGGTAGCCCTAGAAATCATCCATTTTTCTCGATGGGATTTTCCACCATCCATCGAGCTTGGGGATCCCCCGACTGACGATATATGGAAAGCCTCGGCCATGGCCATCTTCCATACGTCAATCACAAGAAGAATCACAACGACACTCCAGGTTCTTCAGAATGACCCATTTTATCATTTTGAGGTGATTGAAATAAGAAAACAACAACATTCTTGGGGTATTAATCAATATATGATCCATTTGATTAATACTGATTCTTAATACCTATTCAGAGTGACCTCGAATTGGTGGTTGAGTGAAGGTCACAAATTGAAGAACCATAATTTATGTGGATGCACCTGGATGCAGAGTTGGAATAAATGATCGGACGCCTTGTTGGTTTAAAACTGGAAAACGTGTTGCATTTTGGGATTGGTGGTGGAATGTAGCAACAAAAAATCCAACCTCTAAAAAAAGGGAGGCCCAGTTAGCAGGTAGCAGGTAACCCAGTTGCAAAAACATTCGTGATTTGGAAGATCATGGATGGATAAGATATCATAAACTTTTCTATAGTTATCCAGATTTATCCATATTTGATGATTACATGCCTCATAATTTCTGTACGTTTGCCGTTTCCTATGTGTGATTTGCTATGTGGCTGTGCCTTAAGAAATGCAGGAAAAAAAACGGCCATTTTAGCTGGAAAATCATATGAATTATAGACAACTTTATTTCTCTGAAACATTCTGGCACATTTCAGCAGCAAAGAATGTTTTTTTTAACCACAAAGAATGGAGCAGAACTTAGAACCTCGTTGATTTGTCCAATATATATAATGGGAACCTAGCTCAATAAAACGCGATTCATTTTAAGACATTTTAAGTTTTGATGGTGATAAACCATGATAAACCAATTTTCAGAAAGAGCCATGTCCGTTCTGGCCTGGTGATACTGATACGTCGTTCTTTTGCGGGTTTACCCAGTGGGCAACAATACATACAAAAGCATGCAAAAGCACAATTATAAATTATATAATTATATATATAATATACGTATAATATATATATATGTGATAATATATGTAATTGTATATATGTAATATATATATATATATACATAACATAACATACGATTACCCTGGTGTATTCCATTCCCACTTATATTTGGAATTAGTTCTCGATCTTGTTTTCATTATCTCAGGGTGCATTGAGTGACTTGAGTGGTTTACCATTGGGTAACTTAACATAGCTACGGACAATCACCATTTTATAGGTATATCAGCTACATATTGTGGTCATTGTCCATAGCCAAGTAACACATCAACTATCCCGTTATATACTCATCAGACTATGATATTCATTGATTAAATCAATTAAATCCCTATTTTAGGATACTTAACGACATTTTCTTTACGGAAAAGCCTTGATCGTTTGAATAGTTTGACCGTGACCCCATGGCATAGAGGTCGGTGCTGAGCCAGAAGAGAATTTGGAAGTTCCAAAAGGCTGCTGGTTTCACTGAATGCATATGTATACTATATGTCTATATGTACATTTGCATATACCCTCTGGTAAACTAACATAACTATGGAAAATCACCATTTTTAATGGGAAAATCCACTATAAATGGCCATTTTCAATAGCTACGTTAAATTACCAGAGGGTACATCGATTAGATTTGATTCCATAAGATTTGAATGGATAGGAAGTAGATAAGTCAAAAGGTAGATAATGATATAGAAACTATAGGTACTGTAGATAGATGCTACGTAGATAGACAAGCAGAAATTCCCAAAGCAGACACCTGATCAAAACTGAAGTTTGTTACTGATACTGGGATGATTTTTGAATATGGAGTCAAAACCCTGGCACCAAGAAAGTATCCCAAACTAGCTGGTGAACGGATATTCCCCCATTCATACAGTAATTGCTCATGTCTTTTGACCCATCCCCACATCTTCAGCCTGCCGTCACGCCGTGTCGGGAGCTACAGGCGGTCTTTGGTCCAAATACGATCCGCGGATTTTTTGCAGCTCAGCGTATCACTTGGAAATTCTCTGGGAAAAGGCAGCCTGTGATTCGCGCAGGAAGCATAGAACGGATCATGTACGTGGCATGTCAGGGTGTTCATCTGTGGAATATCATGTTATTAAATGTTATTAATGTGACTTTCTATGTCATATAAGGCATATACGATATATGAGTATTCTCAATTCATGGATCGTCATTGTTCTCTTGATTTTGAATGATTCAGGGTTTTTGTTTGATTTCCAATATTTAGGAATTCCATACTTTGAGGCCCAGCACCTCGGATTGTTTGATTTTTATGGTGTCAAGGCTCGACTTGTATCGACTTGTGACACCTGGGAATGAGGTGAGTACAACACCTTCTGTTGGAAGCTCAGTGCTGACGTGTAGACTGACATAGCAATGATCAAACCATGGCCCATTTAGTTCTTTGATTAACCTAGTCCAAGTGAGGATTTCCCATGCATTTCTTCTACATATCACCTAGGGTACCTGGCGTCCAGAGTGCGACATCTCATGACAGCTGTGGCCCTGGAGGTGATCAGCCCCAGCTCTTCTGGCAGATGGGTCGAGAGCTGGCACTGGACAGGGCTGACATGGACAGATGTGACAGATGGGATGATCATGGATGATCAGGATATCTATATATTTATACTCATATCATCTCATATCATATATGTATAATGTATACTTTGTATACTTATATAAATCCTACATTTGGGTCTAGGAATGTCTAGGATATGGTAAAGTCTTCGCCCACCGGTTCCTGCTTGTACATTGGTGCTTGTACCATCGCTGATGATGCCTTTTCTCTGCGTTTTTTTCTTGTGCTTTGGTTTGCGCTCCGTTTCCTGCGAGGTACTTGCTGCTCGTGCCTTTCTCCCCACTTCCTGCTTGTAGATTAGTTGCTTGTACCGTCCTATATGAGCGCCTTTCTCCGCGCTTCCTGCTCCTACCTTGGTTTGTGCCTCGTTTCTTGCTGTTTTGTGCTTGTACCTTTCTCGTCGTGCAGCTCCTTTATATGCGTATACATTTACAATCATATATACATACTTGTAGATCATATTTAGGTTTGTTTTACAGGATATGATCATATATGATCTATGATCGGGATATCTGATCCCAGTATCAGTAGCGAAGTTTACTGGGGGATATGCTCCCCGTCATGGCCACCCTCAATGAGGAAAACAATGACAAGCCATTGAAATTGGGTCTACATGCTTCAGGGCAAAATCATTTCAATAATTAACAACGGTGGTAAACTATGATCTTATACCTGGACATGACCCTCAACAATAACACAGAACCAATACCATTAATAATCATCATTATATATCATTATATAATGTTGACAAATAAAAAAAATGTGATAAACCTGGCACAGCATTGCTGCGTTCTTCCAAAAAGTAATGTTGGCACTTAACGATGACTTTTCTGGGTACCAAAATACTGGGGGGTGCAGTTCCACTGACAATGATTCAGTGTTCATTATTTCAACGCACAAAATGGGTTTCATGATGTTTCATGTTAGCTAATGTTAGTATACCTGTATCATCTATTAGTGTTGTTGAAATACATTCTGAAACCTGGTGTGAATTTGACTTGACCCATGCACGACCATGTACAATCGCCAACTCGGGGATTTGGACGACAGACGACATGAGCGAAGGCTTTGCAAATCGGGTACGGCTGGTGATGGCAACATATCATGGCATATCATGGCTATATATTTTTGTTTACACATAAACCTGTGTATAGAATATGTATGTCATATGTATATTAATATTGTATATACAATCAGGTATGTATATAATACTGTATATATATATATGTATGTACATATTGGGCTCAAGGGCTACAGCTCTGTTGGCGTAGTCGACAACTGATCTGTTGAAGTTTCAGGGAACACCTCCGTGTAGATTCTCAAGGAGTTTCCGTCACTCCCGTGGAATATAAACAGTTGTGAGTCCAATCACAAGCCAATGTATGTTTGAATCAACAACAACAACAACAACAACAGCAACAACAACAACAACAACAACCCAAATGGAATGAGCTAGATAATTATGTTGCTGGTGATGTTCGTCACGAGAGCGACCATGTTTTTTTTCCAAAGTACACTCACAGAAAAAAAATAGTTAGGTAGATAGATAGATAGATAGATAGATAGACAGACAAAAAAAAACAAAAAAACAAAAAATACAAGCAAACTTGCATGTTGCACCACAACCATGGGTATTCAACCAAGGCCATCCAAAACTTACCCCGGCCCCCCATCCTACACCCATAATTGGTTGATGCGCCTACATCCTAGTGGTTGTTGGTTGTCCGTAAGCCCTTAATAAACCATTATTTTTTGCTGGGGATATCCCCTTACATAGGCCTTACATAGGCCTTATATATGGTAGGTACCTCGAATTTAGGATCCTGAAATTCCCATTGAATTGCCTTTGGAATGCCCATGAATATCTTTCTTCATTGATACCTCGTCGTTTTTGTGAGCAGGACATCCATTTGGCCAACGGGGGCACCATGAACCTCAAGGCACGGCTGTTTGCTGATTCGGGTTTTTAACCTATGGAAATTGGTGATTTGACTAACCAAGTTCAACCTTGGGAGTGAACCGATGTGGCCATCGGATATGGGAAACAAACGGATAGCATATAGGGTGAACTTATGGTTGACAAATGGTACGGTCAAAATTACCAAGGGCACCACAGATGGACATTTCTAGCATTAACCATGAAATGGCAGGAGTATCAATACGACCCATGTCCATTCAAAACTGGGAGATGGAAGCAAAAATTGCTGGGCTGAAATCAAGTTCACCAAGCGGATGGACGTAAATGTCCTGCCAAATTGGTTAGGTTTTGATACAACTGTGGGTGACAAGAGATATATTATGTCCCTAAAAAAAACATCAGTATTTCGACCAAATTGGATTGGTTAATTTAGATTATACATATAGTCAACATCAAATATATAGACATATTTATATAAATATACATACATATATATATATATATAAATAATCCCTACCCCCTATTAATAAACGGGCCCCCCCCCCCTCCCCCCCCCCAATAATAAAATTCGAAATTTTGGGAACGCATTCTTTTTATTAGGGGGGTGTTTCAGAGTGGCGCTATCTGTTGTAATAAATTATGTTGCCTGATGACTGATTCTCTTTGAATTTGCAGGAGTTCTTATGATGAAGCTACCAAGATACCATATTATGTTTGGCCATGTTTGCCTCGCATTGGCATGATCTACGACTGCTTCGATTACTACCACGCTTGCTTCGACCATCACTACCCTCGCCATAGCAGCACAACGAATTATATATTTTTTCTCTCGTTCGACGACAATGGCTACTACTCTTACAAAATCCTTACATGCCCCCAAACCTTCACATGCAAAGCCTGAAAGACTCTGACGATGATCACAACTGAAACTGTGATTTCACCACTGACACAATGCTGATTACACGACTACCATCCTCGTGACGATGATCACAACTGCCATGACGCCCCTTCGATGCAGCATTCTTCCCCTTCAAACCAATTTTGTCGTTTGTATTATCGGCCAAGGGACAAAGGCTAGTGTGGAAGGGGGGCAAAGAAGCCAGGAGTAATGGAATGAAAGAAAATCCAGTAGCAGCACACGGACTTTTTCTTAAGGCATCAAAGCAAACCGGTGCGCCCCCCTCCCTTTGTCTCATTCGAATAATTAGTGCATTTTCAGACTTGTTTCAGACTGTTTCAGAATGTTTTTTTAAAGGACTTCAACCTCAAGAAACTGACTTCTTCTACTACGACCACTACTTCTTCTTCTACTAGTACTACTAGTACTACTAATTACTACTACTACTACTACTACTACTACTACTACTACTACTAGTACTACTACTACTACTATTACTACTACGATTACTACTACTACTAATACTACTACTACTACTACTACTACTACTACTACTACTACTACTACATCTACTACTACTACTACTACGACTACTACTACTACTACGACTACCACTACTAGTACTAGTACTAGCGTTATTTGCATGTGAAAGACAGTTGCACCGACAGTCACAAGCACGATTTCATTGACACACACTGTGAGGAAAATCGAAAATCCAGCCTGTCGGAATATACCTCAACAACCTGAGAAGAAAAGCTTATTCAACAGTTCAAGCAGGTACCAGTGGTTGATCAGACCACTCATCCACCGAAATGCCATAGCTTCGTAGTAACAATTCTACCAGTAGTAGTCGTAGTAGTAGAAGTAGTAGTAGTAGTAGTAGTAGTGGTTGTAGTAGTAGTAGTAGTTGTAGTAGTAGTAGTAGTAGTCGTTGCAGTAGTGGTAGCAGTCGAAGTAATGTATTCGGACCCCTTCACGGCATTGAGGGCCCCCTTGAACATACGAGTGCGCTGTCATTTGCGACCAAGGGGCAAAAGGTCGCATGGAAGGGATAAAAAGCAACAAGTCAGAAAGGCATCTACAAGAGGCAAGAGGTCAAACAGACAGACATGAAAATTTGAAGACTGAAACTAGGACAATATTGGTAAAAGCTAGACCCGGGCTGAGATCCTGGAGATGTGGATGTTTCAGACCTGTTTCAGACTGTTTCAGACCCTTTTCTGGCCATGCACAACACTTGACACAATTGGCAGTAAAGAACCAAACAATTCTAAGAGTAGTAGTCGTAGTCGTAGTCGTAGTAGTAGTCGTAGTAGTAGTAGTAGTAGTAGTAGTAGTAGTAGTAAGTAGTAGTAGTAGTAGTAGTAGTAAGTAGTAGTAGTGTAGTAGTAGTGGTAGTAGTAGTGGTATTTGCAGTAGCTGTAATGTTTTCTGACCCCTTGAAGGCACTGCGGGCCCCCTGGAACATACTAGTACGCTATCACTTGCGGCCAAGGGGCAAAAGGTAGCATGGAAGGGGAAAAAGCAACAAGTCAGAAAAGGCATCTACAAGAGGCAAGAGGTCAAACAGACAGACATGGAAATTTGAAGACTGAAACTAAGACAATATTGGTCAAAGCTATTGCCAGCAAAGAACCAAACAATTCTACCAGCAGGAGTAGTAGTACTACTAGTAGTAGTAGTAGTAGTAGTAGTAGTGGTCGTAGTGGTAGTAGTGGTAGTAGTAGTAGTAGTAGTCGTTGCAGTAGTGGTAGCAGTCAAAGTAATGTATTCGGACCCCTTCACGGCATTGAGGGCCCCCTTGAACATACGAGTGCGCTGTCATTTGCGACCAAGGGGCAAAAGGTCGCGTGGAAGGGGAAAAAGCACAAGTCGGAAAGGCATCTACAAGAGACGAGAGGTGAAACAGACAGACATGGAAATTTGAAGACTGAAACTAGGACAATATTGGTAAAAGCTAGACCCGGGCTGAGATCCTGGAGATGTGGATGTTTCAGACCTGTTTCAGACTGTTTCAGACCCTTTTCTGGCCATGCACAACACTTGACACAATTGGCAGTAAAGAACCAAACAATTCTAAGAGTAGTAGTCGTAGTCGTAGTCGTAGTCGTAGTCGTAGTCGTAGTCGTAGTCGTAGTAGTAGTAGTAGTAGTAGTAGTAGTAGTAGTAGTAGTAGTAGTAGTAGTAGTAGTAGTAGTAGTAGTAGTATCAGTAGTAGTAGTAGTAGTAGTAGTAAGTAGTAGTAGTAGTAGTAGTAGCAGTAGCACGAGCAGTCGCAGCAGCACTAGCAGTAGCAGTAGCGAAAGGAGTGGTAGTAGGGGTAGTAGCAGTCGTAGTGGCAGTAGCAGTAATGTTTTTTGACCCCTTGAGGGCATTGCGGGCCCGCTTATTCAACAGTTCAAGCGGGTACTGCCATAGCTTCGTTGGACTGGATAGGCAAATTGGCTCCAGTAGCCCTGCTTTAGATGAAAATGGAACCATTTGTGATAACGGTGTGCACACACACACACACACGGATGGAGTCCTCGAAAAGTTCGATTGCTGCTAGGATGCCCCCTAATAAGCTCGACGAGGCGTGTTAATTTATTCTCGGCTCATGTAGTATTGGTTTTCAATAGGCGGAATGGAAAAACAATTAAAAAAAATGGTCCCGAGCGCCGGCATTCTTTTTATTAGGGGGACCTTTATTAATAGGGGGTCGAGATTATATATATATATATATACATACATATAAATATGTAACATCTATACACTATACATACACATATGAATATAAACATAAATGCAAAACACATATGTATATAATTTACACCAGGTAGACTATGTATATGTAATGTTTTTGTTGCGATGTACACAGCCACCATTCACCTTAAAATCCCCTGGTCCTGGTCGCTTCCACGACCTCGTCCCAGGATGGCTTGAAAGAAGCCGAACCCAATGCGGCCCACAAAGCCCTGGTGGAGCTACAGGAGATGGGGAAGTTACACACTGCAGCTGGGACATGTTGGACATGTCAACCAGTTATGACTGGGATAGAAAAAATAACTTTTCATGGTTGGCAAACCAGACTGGGATGGTTTCATTATAGTGGTAAGTTTCTTTTTTTTTCGGGGCAGAGGGTCAAAGAATCAAACCGACTCGGATTTGCTGATGAATCCACCATCGAGCTGGGGGAATCTACTGGGAATTGTTCAGTGTTCGTTTCTATGGTCCCCCATTATGAACAATGCGGCCACCCTCCATTTGGGGGGTCAACTTTGTTGTGTGAACTGTGAAACATGATAGCCAGGTAAACCTTGCACAGAGGGTTGTTTTCCCTAAAATTTGTGGTGTGTCATCGTTTTCCCTAATGAAATAAAGATGCATTTTAGAGTTATCCCCCTTTTTCAGACATTGTTTTTGGGCCTGGTGGGTTGGCCAATGAGTTTCTGGCGTTTAATTCTCATTACGAATTGGGATTAATCCGGGAACATGTAGTAGTGATTGGTGACGGGTAGTTATTTAATGTTACAGTCGTTTTTGATTGTTGTTTCTTGTTTGAAGGATTGATAAATATATGTAATTATATATACGTAATACGTATATATATATATATGTATATGTATGTGTATATATATATATATATGTAGACGATACCCTGTGTTTGTTTGATGCGTTCTTGTTGCAGGATTGGCTACATTTTTGGTTGGTGAGATAGATCGGGCTATTGCGCGCCGACTTTTTAATGTCTGATTAAGAACCTCAAAGGCCACACTGTGTTTGGAAGTCTACAAGTAAGGCAGACAATCCCCATGAAAGTTATAGGTTGGTTATATGTCCACTTCTATCCCCCCGGTTCCCCCCTACTTACCCACATTTGGTGGATGGTTTTGACACCAATGAAAAATGCTCATCCTGCATAGTCTTATTGTTAAGGAATCCCGAAGCGACCTTGCAAGAAATGGTGGGTAAGTCACTAAGTGATTGGGGAAACCAAGGTTTTCATGACCGGCTGTGGGGAGCTGATATGGTATGATAAGCAGTCAGGGTGAGACCCTGAAGTTTGGGATGTTTAGGACAACTCTTCAGGGTTGGCTGTAGCAAAACCTGGGTTGGCTGTAGCAAAACCTGGAACAGGCACCAAGAAATCACAAAAAGATACAAACAGTGATGTCAGACAAAGAACTTCGGCTACTCATTTGATCCTAAACTCACATTACAACATATAAAAAAATATCCCTGTTGAATGCTTGTTGTATGTTATTGTGGAGTTAGATCGCCTGGCTTATTGGGGATTACTATTGCCCACCCACAATAGGGATACCTCTCAACCAAGCAGTAGAACGGGATGGCAGTCTTGATATTTTTCATAGGTCACCTTCACATTGGATATGTATGTACACACACACAAACATATATTATATAAATATATTTATATATACATATGTACATGGTCTATTTATCTACTTATCTATCTATGTGTTATTTAACCGAGCGATCTACCTATTGTTTTGTTATTTCATTTTTTGTTATTAATGTCCTTATTTTTCATTTTATATCTATCTATCTATCTATCTATCAATCTATCAATCTATCAATCTATCAATCTATCTCATCTAATCTCATCTCATCTAATCTAATCTAATCTAATCTATCCTATCTATCTTATCTATCCTATCTATCTGATTTATCCTATCTATCTTATCTATTTTATCTTGTCTATCTATCTAATCTATATATCCAATCTATCTATTTATCTATCTATTTATCTAATCTAATCTAATCTATTCTAATCTAATCTAATCTAATCGTATATTATTTTATCTAATCTTATCTACGTATCTTATCCCATCTTATCTTATCATATCTTATATTATCCTATATTATCTTTTCTTATCTAATCTAATCTTATCTTGTATTATCTTGTCTTATCTTATATTATCCTATCTTATATTATCCTATCTTGTCTGATCCTATCTTGTCTTATCCTATCTTATCTTATCCTATCTTATCCTAGCTTATCCTATCTATCTATCTATCTATGTATCTATCTATCTATCTTTCTTTCTTTCTTTCTTTCTATCTATCTAACTATCTATCTATCTATCTATCTATCTTTCTAATTATCTAATCTATCTATCGATCTATCTATCTATCTATATCTCTATATATCTATCTATCTAGCTATCTAGCCATGATATCTAGCTATCTAGCTATCTAGCTATCTATCTATCTATCTATCTATCTATCCATCTATCTATACAGGTGTTTTTCCCCTTTCTATCTATTATTTTTCTATCTATATTTCTTTCTATGTTTTCTTTTTTTTCTGTCACTATTCATCTTACATATATAAATATATACTTGTGATTATATGCGTATACATGTACACACCTTTCCTTGTTCTGGTTCCCCGTGGACCCATATGAAACTCCAAGAAGGCGCCGCGGAGCCCAGGTCATTACACAGCGCCTTGGCCCAGAAGGGTTGAGACATCTTGAGACTTCAAGTTGCAACTTCAAAAGACTTTCATTCAGCACCTTTAAGAATATATATATATATAGTATGTATGATTATGTATGTATATTATATAAGATTGTTGTTGAACAGTCAGGACACCTGCGAAGCTTTGTGAACATTTTTTCGACAGATCGGAGGCACTGGGTTTCTTTATCCCGGTAGAGAGGCCCATATCCAGTACCAATTCAGTGCCCCCAAGACGGTGCCAGTTCCAAGGAACATCGATTCGCTTCATCAGCGAGCTGGTTCCAAGCAAGTCATCGAAATCCATGGGACGATGGCTACGGTGCTGCGGCATGTTGTGGTTGGGCTGAGGTACCAAGGAATCCACCATGCTGTGGCATAGTTTGGCGGGTCAATCACTTGAAAGTTGCAACAGAAATCCTTCCAGGTCGCTTGATTTCCACTTTAGGTATTGCCTGAACCTATCATCCTTTCCAGCAGAAAATGTTTTTTTGTTTTTTTTTTAATTAGCAACTATAACAAAGTCTTTGGTTAGTGATATAGTATGAGATAGTGTCGTGGTATCATGGTATCACCCCCAAAGTTAGTAACCTATATATAGTATTGCCTCAATTTTGTCTTCGACTATTTTGTCTGATATTGAATAGTATTTATTTTGTTCGTTTATTTATTTTCAATAAATTATAAATAAATATTGTTCAGTTATCTATTGTGTATTTTGTTTATTTATTATGTGTTTATTTTAGCTACACATTTTGATATGCATAGATCCACATGCGCCACATGCCCGGGACCGTTTGCATAGATCCCCGAAAGGCTCACTATATAATCAGGCACGAAGAGGATAGAAATCATTATTTAACCGTTTGTGGCAGACATATCATGTTATATCATGTTATATCATGTTATATCATGTTATATCATGTTGTATCATGTTGTATCATGTTGTATCATGTTGTATCATGTTGTATCATGTTGTATCATGTTGTATCATGTTGTATCATGTTGTATCATGTTGTATCATTTTTGTATCATGTTGTATCATGTTGTATCATGTTGTATTATGTTGTATCATGTTATATCATGTTGTATCATGTTGTATCATGTTGTATCATGTTATTTCATGTTATATCATGTTATATAATGTTATATCATGTTATATCATGTTATATCATGTTTTATGCAGACATTTGGTAACTCTCCGACATAGATTCGTGATATCCACTGGGAAGCTTTTTCATGCTGGAGATCAATGACCCCAAAGGATCCGCACTCTGGGTTGCGAAATCCAGCAGTATACATATATGTGGCTTACCCCATAGGGTTTCAACATGTTTCAACCATCAAAGGTTGCAGGATTTCCCAACCATCCACTTTCTTTTAGTTAACTCATGTAGAATCCGCAGAACCCTCCCACGAATTTGGGGGCATTACCAGCCCCATGTTGACCGAGGCACGGTGCATTGAAACTCGAAAAAAGGCCACGACTGGGTCAACGGAAATAGTGGTGTTCTGGGTGGCAAGTAGCAAAAATGGTGGTCCTATGGGATGTGAAACATGGTGAAACATGGTAGTTCAAGCATCAAATATGTGGATTGAACCAATGACTACAATAGGATATGATGTGGCATATGATCAGATATTTTAGATACATGTAAAACCAGCAACTGCCATGTTCAAAAATCAGACTTTCGTAACACATTGATTTTGGTTTCATGGCCATTGATTTTCGTATTCTCATTGGATGGCAGATCACCATGGCTGCTAAAAGTGCAGAGATTTCAATTGCCAGAAACCATCTTCATAAAGATGTCCATTTGCGCTGCCGCTAGAGGAACAGGCAAAGATATTCCTTGCTGCGACAATCCATCAGGCTAATCCTTGTATCACAAGTCCCTCACTTTTTTTTGTGCTGGGTTATGAACCAGATTTAGCAGTCGGTAGAATCAGGTTTGAGAGCGGGACGGCACCTGTTTGACAGCACCTGTTTATGTTTTGGAGTAAGTAAATTATTTGAATGTTGCATTGTTTGGGTATCCTCCCCCGATATAGAAACTATGTATGTATATGTGCTCAGTAAAAAAACAAAAAACAAGTTTCGTTGCATATATTTCATTATATTTCCATATTTAATATGTCCAAGGCTCCTACCTGAAAACCTACGTAATTAATATTGATAAGACATATGCAATATGTATCAATATGTAACGAACATTATCATGACATGATAGATCCTCATATGTGCTTCGTATCTTAATTAACATATTTTAGATACTCTATAGTTGGTAGTATACTTAATCATATGCATACCTTACATTACCTTGTCAAACATATTTGATCAATAGATACTTCATATTTTCTCACCAATATGGGAGCCATATCTTTGGAGGTGCAGCAAGCCGAGATTCTACGCTCTTTGGTGATGGTCGCACTGGGGATGATGGCAATGATGGTTGATGATGGCAGTTTCTTTTGGACCCATTGATGGCTCTAAGTATATTCAATTTTCTAATAATTGAAACAAGAGAAACTGTAGCTAATTGAAATCCATTCCTGTTTGATTTTTTTATAATATAAACTGTATAAACTCATAATAATTCAAACATATTCAAACAAGAAGCACTATTTTTGTCGACAAAACAGCAGCTAGAATAACATATTATATGGTTCTTATCATACCATAGATTCGTGTGCACATGGTGATCATTTTCCCAGGGAAACCCATGGGATTTTGGATGGGATTTTTTGCAGATGTGACTTTAATTACCCCATGGTAAAATGATGTAAAATGATGTAAAATGTGTATTTGGTGTTGTCTCAAAAATGCAGGATGATCCTCATTTTACGGCAATTCTTGACTCTGTTTACTAGTTTACTCCTTTTACCCCATTCATAGCCGAACACATGATTTATTGATGACACCTCTTGAAATCAATGAAATCCGATCGCTGGAAGACTGACTTTCCTGATGCCTGAATGAGTATAAGCACACAAACTATATAAGGGGTTCACCAACAAACGTTTCAGGTCAAAGTCGGCTTATCTCTCCACACACTAACAGTGGTTCCTCCCCACCCCGTCTCAGCATGAGCAATCCATATCTGTGTCCGGACCTCATGACACAATGTCCTCATTGTTGATTGATGTTACTTTACCGGATGGTAAAACCAAATACAAACCATTTATAGATGATTTTCCCAGTTAGAACTTCCATTTAGTTCAGGAATTTTCCAATTGCTGTGTTTGACTAATATAGTTTAAATCTATTCTTTTGTCGCCATACTGCTGACACGGGCCACATCCTAAGGTCAGTGGGTTGCAGCGCGTGAAGGTAAACCGGATAGTACCTTGCGGAGCGACATCACCAGGGACTCTTGCCACTGCACGGCAGGGCTGCGCTCCAGCGGTGAAAGAACGACCCCGTTTTAGTGGTAGATAGTGGACATATGTAAGGATATAGTGGTTATGGGTACGAGTCAAAATGCAAGGTATGGATCAAGGCCCCGGGCCCATAGACGATCCCACATACATTATGATACAGCATGATGAAGACCCGTGATCAATCGTGATCATCCATACCGCTTTTTCGTTGAATGAACAAAGACTGATGCTGGTCCTAATGCTTCTCCTGGTAGTGATACTGCTTCTGGTCTTCATACTGCTACTACCTTGGCTACCGCTGCTACCGCTGCTGCCGCCGCCGCTGCTAGGCCTGTAGTGCTGCTAGTGCTGCTAGTGCTGCTAGTGCTGCTGCAGCTGCTGCTGCTGCTGCTGCTGCTGCCACTATTCTTCTTCCTCCCAGGGGCTGCTGCTACTGCTTCGCTTCTGCTGCTAGCACTGCTACACTTCTTCCTCCCTGTGCTTCTGGTAGTTCGACAAATGCGGCCAGATGCGGCCAGCTACTAGCAATATTGCAGATGCACCTCGGAGGATATAGCAAGACAGGTTCTAGTTCCACTCGCTTCTTGTACTTCTAGCGGCAATTGCTATTATTCCAGAAGTCCTTTTGCCTAGCACGTGTATTGGAAGCCCCAGCCCAGCAGGGCCATGGTAATGGATTTTGACCAAAAGCCACCAAAACTAATCAGAAATCAAAATTGGGCACTATCATTGAATCTACCAACGCAACCTACACTGCCGATTCGGTATTGTGGAGTAGAGGGTTTGGATGCCCACATAATCCAAGGGTTTCCTTGATCGGCATCCGAGTGGAGTTCAGGATGGTTGGGTGCCAAGACATCAAGAAACCAACGGCGTGCTGAAGCCAGACATTACGATCCTTGGCGAACGAGATCAAACAACACCCCCGACGTGGCTGGGATGTAGCCATCGAATTATGGTTGGGTTTTGTTTAACCCATCATGAATGAAGGAATATCCAGCAATAAACGGAGACTATGATATATTATAATTATATTATATACATATATTGAGGAAGATTGTGTGGGTCATTACGGACCTTAACACTGGTCCGTAATGTCAATCTGGGATTTTTAACCCATAACAACTATGTTTGATGTGAACACATGTGAAAACCAACATCGTTTTGGCTCATGTCCATCTGAAATCCAGTGGGATTCATTTGAATCCCTGCTTCGGACACTGAAGTCTGCAGTGAAAACTTCACATGATTCCAGAGACCAAAGATTTGAATCCTAGCTTTGGGGTTGAACATGGACTCAGTCATGGTACCTCGAACTTAAGTTAATTAGTGGAAGATTGAAGATGTTAAATTTTGGGGGTAGATACTGAGCTTCATGGGGCAACCCAACTATATATATTTTCATTTAATTTTCGGTAACGACATTTAAATATATGGAGGGCGGGCCAGACGAGGCCAGGGAGGTACATAGTATGAAATATCAATTCGTATATTCAAATGTAGTTGCAGTATGTTTAAATGAATCGGATTCCGTATGTTTAAATTGGCTGGGCGGGCCAAGGAAAACCTTCCCGGAGGTAGTCTAAAATACCCGTTCGTATATTTAAAAATCTGTATATTTAAATGTAGTTACCGTACAGTATTTATATATATATAAACAACTTACTCGTAATTGTGTATTTAGCATGTGAATAATATAAACTTGATTATTCGCTGGACTGCTCCTAGGTTGAGTAGCGGGTTTAATCATGGGGATTGGCTATCGCTGTGATACCACATTTTCCACTTGGATATGAAGCACGGTGCACCATCCCAAGGGATGTGTATATGGTGGGTTCCTAAAGTGGGGGTACCCCCAAATCATGCAAAATTAGACAATTTTAGTATTGAAACCTATGGCTTTGGGGATCCTCCATTTTAGGAAACCTCCATATGATGACCGCCCCATGAAAGATTTTGCGGGAATCTTCAAAATGAGGCTTCGAGATCTTCCAGCTTCAAGTTGACTGGTTGAGTCAACATTGAACCAGGTAGTCTGTTCCCCCCAAGCAAACCATCAACCAACCATCAGTTGAAAGTGATATATCCTGATTTGTGCAGTCAAATGCCACCATTCTTGTTGGTTCACATAGTTCAATTTTCCCTTGTTGAGAGCTGCAATAGATTGCCCTATACATGTTAATTTAATGAATCAGTGGTGCTTTATTTACTTTATTTCCCCATATTTGTTGCTTCAATGCTTATAGTTGTTGATCGTAAATAAGGGCGATGAGTTCCGATGATATCTCCCGTTGTACGGAGGGCCATCATGTTCCCCGTAGTTGGATGGTCACCTGGTCAACTGCCAGTTGATGTTTGTTGAAATGATCCAGTGTTTGCTAACAGAAATATTAGGAGAACCCACCATTTGTAGATCATTTCCGTGGATTATCTGATTATCTTCACGGGTATTTGGATCAACCACCAAGACGCAAGCTCAGGATGTTTGGAGAGCCGTTGCCCGCCGGCGCACTGGCTGCTTCGTGGCAGGCAGTTGCTTGGCTAGGACAACAATGGCGGCCGGTGTGATGGGACCCATGTATGGCTAAAACCCTGGTTGATTGGTTATATGTTAGGTTGAAAACTACTCAACATATTGGCTATCTTTACCCATTGTGGGAATTCCTGTTAACCAACCACATGAAGGGATGACAGAGGGTTTCGAACATTGCTCATCCCCATGGTTAAATTACATCGGTTATTTTGCCATAGGGGATGGTCATCAATCCATTTTTACGTGGATTTATATACTCATTATGTTTGGGATCCCCATGGCAAAACCTTGTATCGCCTTGTAACTTGACTAAGGCACCTTTAGTACAGCACTCATTTGTGGTGTAAACACAGGATTGGTAAGCACTCTTTGGGGGACCCCTCTACTTCATAGACTAGTGGTTTATGAAATCTGGATTGACATTAGTATGTTTTCATTCATTGTTAGTCTTAGTTGTTCATCAGTTGTAAATCCATGTTTGCTGGTCATGGTTGGTCGTATCCCATGGTTGTGCGTGTTTGCTGGTTACGTGTGTATCCTTGCTGCTTCTATGTCCATGTTTGCTGGCCACCGAGATTGAATACTGATATTGATATATATATATATATGTGATTATACATTATTCTTTATAAATATATGTTGTAATTATATATAGTTTACACATGTATGTGCTATGTACATGTACATGTACCCATAGGATCCATGTATGCTACATATGGTAACATTTACCATCAATATACCCCAAATGTTAGCATATATACCATACATGGATCCTATGGGATGTATTATATATATATATATGTGTGTGTGTCACGAGATATCCAGTACATATTGGTTATATAGCTATGTTGTCTATTCTACAATCCAATGACTGCTTGCTGGGTATGTCCCCGTGTGTCTTAAGGTCCTTGGTTCGCCGGTCTGTCTTGTGGTCGGCACTGGATTGACTGTGTCTTGGCATCGGAACATGTGCCGAACATTCCTGCTGCGAATAGTAGTCACGTTGCTTGGTAGTTGAAGAGTTTAGTGGTGCTTAGTAGGGAATGGATGGGAATGGGGGAATGGGATTATTATTGATAGTGATTATGGATCATTCCCTCGTTCCCTGCTAAGCACCAGTAAGAAGAGTTTAGTGGTCATTTAGATTATATACGCGTGTTTTCATAGGGTATCTAACGAATAGCCATGTGTGTGCATCGTTTTTCTGGGGGGTATTCGTCGGTGCCCTAGGATTTCAATTTCAGCTGGTACCCAAACGTGGACCTGTCTAAAGATTAAAAAATCTGGACTGTATGACCTTCTTAAGCTAGCTGACCCATTTGGCACGTGTAAACATGCGCTTCCTCCACTGAAACATGTCCCACCATACCGGCAGTCCACGTTTGACATTGATAACTGCAATTTGTGCATAGTAGTCTGAAACAGTTGCTTAATAGACACCATTGTATTCCCAACTAGCACAAAAACAAACCAGTAATGACCATTGTTAGTTGGATATAAGCCGTTAGTAACCATTGTCAAATCCGTTCATATCCCGATTACTGTAATATGTCGCATTCAAGGGTCACTGTAGCCTATTGCTGTCGCACCTCTTCCCTGTCAGGTGGCACCTGCCAACATGGTCCCCGGCCTTGTGAAGTGGCGCTTTGGCACGTGGCTTGGAGAAATAGCTGCCGGCTTGGAATAGGGTGACTGGATGAAGCATCGAACAAGTTGGGTGTCTAACCATCCCAAATTGTCCAAAATGTTTGTTTTACAGTACATGGTTTTATCTGTGTTGAGTGAAGCTAAAGTTGGACTTGATCAATTTGAACCACCAGAAAAACTCCGGCAATAGGAAACATGTAAGGGATGGACATTGATATTCTGAAATTGTACAAACCGGAGGTAAGCGATGAAACCTTCCCAAACAGTGATACCCCTGTGACCCAGTAAGCTATGGGACCTTCCCCAATAGTGATACAGTACCCCTGTTGAAGGTTGTGTCATAGCGGTGCATATACATAATTTCATATAATTTCCCTTTAAGCAATGCCCCGAAACTCGCCACACATTTCCTTGTACAAAGGTGTGGTAAGCAATGGTATCTTCCCAATTTTGTTGATGTTTTTCCCTGAATCTTGAGTTTCTGGGATTGCCCATATGCATTATAGCAACCCAGAAAATAATCTGACCTGGATTACGAAGTACATATTATCAGCAGCATACTGGAGAGACCGTTCGGCATTTTTTGTGGGGACCATTGTTACCCAAACAGCAGGGGCTTAACCGGGCTTAACCATCCAAAATTCGGGTCTTCACTGACAGACTGGGACTTGATCATGCTCACATTGGTAGGATGGATCATTTGACCATATCATATGATGGGAAACTGACTGGTGAAAGGTAGGTGGACACCGCTAAATCGGTTATATAAATTGTTTGCAAGGTGGGACTATATACTCTCCAGCTGAAAGAAAAACAAACAAATGTTGGCAGGATATCTGGGACTTGACCTGTGAGGCAATACCAAATCAATTTTGGCTGGAAACAAAACACACTCAAAACTGGTTGTCATGAAACTTTGTTTGTGCATTGTTTTTGAAGTATCACAACAACTGATATCAATAGATTCTGCATGTTGAAGCCCTTCCACTTGAGGGTACAGTTCCATTATAATTGCAGTAGACGTATATATAACTATATATATATATATAACGCTGTCATAGGGGTTATATCCCAAGATATGGGGGGATTCACCATGTTTGTACCGGTTAAGAACAATGATTCACAATTGCCAATCATTATTAACCATTGTTGATCCCTGTTAACCCCATTATAAAATGCTATCATATCTATTTTCATGACCCCAACTCTCCCCAAAGTGAACGACAGGGCATCTCAGCCCCCGTTTTCCATCGCGTTTTGAAGGCTGATCATTCTCAACATGGACGACTCTGGTGCTTCCTCTGTCGGACACTCGAAAAACGGGCGGGAGGCGGTTATGGTTGAAGTCACGGGTGTGGCATATGATTTGAGCAATCTTGTGATTAGTGTTTTAGGGATGAATGGTTCTCGTATGTACACGTAGATGTAGAGACAGACATGCATGTCTGTGTACATACACATATATATGTATATATATACAATATGTATACATTTTTTTTTACATTCACATGTGGATCTTCCAGACGTGACTTTTTTTGGCTACATGCTTGTTGTCAAGAAAATCCTGCCACGTTGTTCAATTTGGACAAGTCTCTTCAAAATGGACAACATCGGGACTGGCTGTGGTCAAACAATGCGTGGGAAAACCCATTGACATCCTGTAATTTTGCCTTATATTCACCAGAACATGTCCTTCCAAAACCAAAGCAGCAATGTATGTATATATCTCTTCTATGGCAAGCCATGAAACTCCATGAAACTTCTAAGTTGGAAAAACATGACAGGGAGATGTGGTAAAGACCTCTCAGAAAAGGTAAGGACCCCCCCACAAAAAACGAAATCGCATCGAGCACCTGTACGTGCTGCTAGACTCAAACCTAGGAAAATTATGATCCGGGGAGTCCCGCCAATGGTTTGCAGATTTTTCCAGGTTGAATGTTGATTTTAGCCATGCAGGCAAGGTTGAGCTAGTTGTGCAGTAGTCCAGGGGTCAAAAAGTGGTTGAGAGCTTGGGCTGGCATTCATTTAGGGCTTCTAAGGATTTGCAACCCTAATCATGTTTGCTTTCTGGCTGACAGGGCGCAATAGGTTCCCAGGGTGAAAGCCAAGATCTGTTGCTGAATCAATGGACGCAAAGGACCTCACACAGACACACCAAAACCTTAAAAAACAATTCAAAACCAGGTTCCATCAGGATTGTTTGGTTTCCTCTCATTTGGGCCAGTTTCCACCCAATTGTCCACTTTGAGCTGATTGTCAGAGAAAAGTGTTAGTTGGCATGTATACATATGTATATTTATATTTATATATATTTTTTATAAATATATATATAATGTATATATAATGTGTATTATATATATATGATATATAATGTCTATATATATTTATATTGCATGCATAATAAGCATAGATATCCCAGGATACCCAAACGTGTCCTTTATGTCCTGCAGTGCCGTGCCCAAAGGTATTGATATGCTATGGCCCAATTGAGGGCTTCAATGGCGTAGTTTTGTTCCTTTTCCAGTCGACTTTCCTAAGATAACTGGAGGCTACATGTTTTTTGTTGGTTGACTCCCACATATCCACAGCGATAAATGTTTACATGGCGGAATATCGCATCATATTGTTGGTTGTATATCTCATTGTATCTCAGCATATCCCGTTACATCCCCACTAAACCATTGTTCAATCCCATTAAATCCCATCAAATGCCACTAAATCCTATTAATACCCCATCAATATCCCATTCACATCCAATCATATCCCATGAAATGCCATTAAATCCTACTAATGAATCCCAAAATCCCAGAAACACATCTCAATGAAATCCCATTTACTCCCATAAAAAACCACCGGGCGTTGCTTTGCTTTCAGGCCGACATCTTCCTACAAGGACTGATCGGAGAAGATGGTCATCCCTACTAGGGAAACAGGGGCCATGTTCATCTAAAAATTCCACATCTGATGGAAAGTAACTACCCGTTTGGGTAGATGGAAAGCGCAACAAAAATCATGGGAAATCTGATGGAAATGGCTACTGCTCTGCTAATCTGTGATACTTTGAATATGGAAAATCACAATTTTAATAGCAAAATCAACTATTTCTATGGGCCAGTTTCAATAGCGATCTTAAATTTCCAGAGGTAACAACAACTGTGATGGTAGATATTTGAATTATTATTGAGATGTGAGTTATCATGGTGTTGAGGACGCTGATTATGATGGTTATAATTGCATGTTACAGTTAATGTTACCACTTGCTAATTATGTGTTGATTAACATTTGATTCTACTATATTTGTTATGTAACATTACTCAAGCTGTAACACCCCATTACGATTACTGTAATGTTTGATTCACATATTTTTGATTATATGATATGTGACTAACATATCATAACCATGTCAATCTATAGCTATGACAAAGATATGGTTTGAATACAACTATGATGATTGTGATGATGAAGAGAATGAAGGTGATGTTTTTTTTCCATGGAGTCAGCTGGCCTCACAAAGTCAGCAAAACGATATACAGTACAAACCACCGATGGTTGCGGAAGGAATGGTTCAATATCACGTCTGTTCTGTTTGACACATGTCATACACGTGAATACATACACTCATGCGTAGGTACGTACAGACGGACCGACAGACATACAGATGCAATTGTACCCCATATATATATTGTACATATATATATAATATAATTGTTATATATTATATAATTGTTCGGTAACAACATTTAAATATTAGGAGGGCGGGCCAGACCGCAAGGCCCCAGAGGTAGTATGAAATACCAGTTCGTATATTTAAATGTAGTTATTCTATAATTTCCTATATGTAGACTCGTATTTGGCATCGCGGATGTACCGGGTGAACTGACCCACTTGCCAACCATGCATGCACTATGCAGTGACTAGATCTTGGCAACAAATCACTACATAAAACAAACACATATTTTCACAATTTGGATTCGGGCCAGTTGGGGCTGTTGGGGAATGCTTTGCCTAGGTGTTCTATATATATATATATAATAATATACATATGTATAATGTGTATACATGCCCCCTTATATCCAATTACATGCCCATCCAACCACTACTATATTCCTCATTATTCCCATCTACATTTAGGAATTCAGTCGCAATTGTTCACCAATTTCTGATCATTTCTGTTTAATTCAATATATTCCCACAGGATGGTGCCCCCCAGTTATAAGTGGGTTTATAAAGCCCATTAACTATAGTTATATCTGCCATAAACCATAGTTATGGGACTTATAAACCAACTTAGCTAACTATGGGGCACCACCTTGCAACATATTCCCAACATATTCCCGTTTTGTGTGGCTTAACTCCGATGTTGTCCACCCGACATTTTTGGTGCAGGACAGGCCGGAGTCGTCCTACCCTGTGTGGTGGAAGAAGTGCGAAAACGCCTGGAGGGTCGGCGAAGTCCCAGGGGCCCCCAGGGGGACTGGCTAAGTCATGGGGATACTGCAGATACCCCAATAGATGGTTGATTTTATGGAGAAAAACCATGATTCTATACTGTAAAATGATGGAAACTCCGATTCTATACTGTAAAATGGATTATTTCATGGATGATTTGGGGGTCACCCCATTTATGGAAACTGTTGGAAACCCACATATGGTGATATCAAAGGGATTTAATGGGACATTTATGGGAGATTAATAGTATATATTAATGGGATTTTCCAGTGGTTGGGAGGGAGCCGTTTGGAGCTATAGGTCTTCATATACAATAATCTATTACATAGGGAGCGAAGGAGCTACTTAGAGATTCCCAACCACACGAGAACTCCTCACAAAGGTGACCCTACTGGTGAAGGTTAGGGCTAGGAATACAGCATTTATCACAGGACTTCACAAAATAAAGCGACAGGTTAAGGGGCTGAACACGCATAGGACAGGGTCACCTTGTTATCCTCTTAGGATCTATTAGGATACCTGCCCACCATGATCGCCAGCAATTGTTGTCGTGCAGGGTGAAGACGTTGACTCCGATTCCTTCATTGGGAATGGTGAGTAGTTCAGGAGAAGTACGGAGCAATCTGCATGCAGGAAGGATTCTATGGGATTCTGGATGATTGGTAGCATCATACTTTATGTTTTTTTGGGGGAAATAGACAAATAGACGAAATTGACAAATTGTATTTCTTCATTGGTAGGTTTGTACTGGAAACCACTGCCGGGTAGACGATAAAGACAAGTCCAAATGCTCTCTAAACGCTGCAAAATGGCACGTTCCTGCTACTGTGTAATCAGAAGTCCCTTCAGAAATATAATATATTGTTAATTATCGAAGGAAGTTTTGAAGTCAAACTTCCGACAATATGGACAGATGAAAAGCAGAGCAGGGCAGAGGCAGAGAGAAGAGGAAGATTAGAAGAGAGAAGATCAGAAGAGAAAGAGTAAGAAGAAAGAAGATGCAGATGCGCGAAAAGGTAGGAAAGTCGCGAAACACTGTGTTTTTCCAAAGATTTGGGGCTCCGGAGGGTCGAAAAGTAGGCTCGCTAAAGCGGCGGGTGCGGAGCCAGCTGGCCAGATGAGAGATGAAAAATTGCACGCCGTTGTGGCGCGAAGCACATTTCCAAGTCAAAATGTACAAAACACACCAGGTC